AAGCGGCAATCTTGACTCTCTCGGACTTGTGCACGTCGTTGATATCGAAAAATTGCATGGCTCGATTTAACCAAGCGTCCGGGTCGGTCCCCGTAAACGTAGGCATCGTGATCTTTGGTCGTGCATAGCCTCGGTCGTCGTGGTGGTGCATCGCACGTGATGCGCGGGTCCTCTGTGATCGTCTGTCATCGTCGTCGTGGTCGGTCCCGGGGCTGCTCGATGCCGCGGTCGATCGCGAGGTGTGACTCCTTCGCGGTCGGCGTGTCATGCGCGTGAGTTGCCCGGCCAGATCATGCACCATGAGCTCGAGTTTAGCGAAATTCTCATTGACAAGGTGTTGGTCATTGCCGATGGACTTCAAACTCTCCTCCAAGGCTTCGATCCTCTCCTTATGTGTCATCATTACTCGACTCTTTTTTTTTTTTTATACTCTCAAAANGATACTCTCGAAAAAATTCGAATAAAAGAAAATAGAATGGGGAAGAAAAAGTTCAACCCAACACACGATCAATCACTCTCAATGAAAGCACCAATGATGAAGGATCGTGTGTTACGTCTAGCTCGACTTGCTCGAAACCCGCGCCGACGCCTTGGTCCCTTCGCAATAGGTTGCTAATACGCACGCCGACGCCTTCGTACTTCGCGATAGGTGTGACGAAACTCCGATGTTGGTCCTATTTCTATCACTGTGAAGAAACTCGGATGTTGGTCCTATTCCATTCACGAACTCTATGTAAACTCACAGGAGAAAACACACGAGAACTTTGAACACAATGTTCGACTCTTTTCTATTCACTCATCAACCCTATTCGAAATTATAAGGTACATGGATATTTATAGATGCCAAAACAATTCTAATCCTAGTCTAAATAGAACTCCTAATGCAAATAAATAAATAAATCCTAAATCAACTAGATATCTAGGGAATATGGACTTTCCTAACAATTAAAAGACAAATAGGAAACTAATAGGCACATGCCTTTTATTTGGATTCCTAACCAAACTAAGACTCCTAACTAAGCTATGAGAATCTCGTCCATATCCTTTGCTTGCTCGACAAGTCGTCGCGCGCCAAAACCCTAGCTGTCCGTGACGCGCCGCCTCGCCTTGCCTATTCCTCCTTGAGCGCGGTAACGCGCGCGCGCCTTTCGCACCGCCCGCTAGTCCTGGTCGCGCAAGGCATCGCTCGCGTTCCTGCCACACGCGCGCGTCCTTCTTGCGTCACGTCTTCGCGTCCCAGCGCCCGTGCGTGTTCGTCCCTCGCGTGAGTGTCGCGCACGCCGCTCGCTCGGCGTCCCGCTCTCGTTCGCCCATCGCTCCCCGCGCGTTCAAGCCACCTGCGCGGTTCTCGTACACGCTCGCCTCGTCAACCTCATCATCCCACTCGACTAGCGCTTTGCGCGTGATTTCCGCCATCGCGCCCCACTCGTACCCGCCTATCGGGACCATCGCCTCGACCCAATCCACTCGCGCGTCCGCCCCATCGCAGCCACGCCCCGTGCACGCTGACCACCCTACATCCACCCCTCGTGCACCAATCACCCACCTTCCCGGGCACGATCGCCTCACTCTCGTCGTCGGCCCAAGCCTCGTGTTCACGCGCACTACTCGTCGCGCACCTCTTCTTCACCCGGCCTAGACTCGCACGCCTCGCGGCTCGGTTGCCGCGTCCTTTCGGTATACGCGCCTTAGTGCATGCGCACACCCTCCTAGCCCGTGCCCGAGCCCTTTCTCGCCTAACCTCTCGCCATCTCTCGAGGCCATCGTGGTCCTCGTCCTCGGGTTCGCCGGGGTCAATGACCACATCCGCATCATTCTCGCCCTCTTCGAGAATTTCTTGTCCTCAAGGATAAAGTAATTGACCAGTTGGCCCAGACGCGACCAGACTCGGCCCAGCTCGTGTCCAGTAGTTCGGTTCGGCCTAGATCTGGTCCAGACCGGTTCAGCAAGGGTCCAGGACCTGGTTTGAGTCCAAGTTGAGTCCCGGTAGGTTTGACCAAGTCAACGGAGGTCCAGGATGATCCGACATGGACAGTGAGCGATTCGATGGTGATGGTGGGGCTAGTCCGGCTGCCCAACGGATATGAGACTCAGACAATCTTCTTCAACGGAAATCATAAATGTCTCAGAGTTGGCAAAATTAAAACGGTACGCGTTGAACCCTCGCTTCTAGTTCCGCTACACATAGGTTTTAATTCATAGATAGTCTGTGACCTGCACATTGTCGAGATCCTCATCCATCCCAACAATGGCATGACTTAGGACTGCAAGGGCACAAATACACTTGGGGAAACAACAGACAGGGAGAAGGATATGTTGAAGAACATCTAGACAGGATATTCTGCTCACTGGGTTGGCTTACTCTCTACCCAAACATCCCGGTGCACAATGAATTCAAAAGCTCCTCAAACCATAGCCTGCTATACCTCAACTCCAACCCAGAAGTGAAAGGCCATAAGAAAAGATTCTTCTTTGATCACAGATTGTTACACAAAATGGAGTGAATGAGGTAGTGTCAAAAGCTTGGAACTGTTACAAGACAGGCACCCTTATGTTATGCTTTCAGGAGAAAATTAAGGGGGTTAGATTGCAACTACTCAAATGGAGCTGCCAGTTCAAATCAGAAAATGTAAGAAGAATCGAAGCACTGCATAAGCAACTGGCAGAATAAAATGGGAAGGTGGACTAAGGGACTGGAAAAATGGGATTCAATTCAGAAAGAGTTCAATGAGACATACAAGCTGGAAGAGCAATATTGGCAGCAAAAATCTAGAATCTCATGGCTCAAACATGGTGACAAGAGTTCCAGCTTATTTCATGCCCACACAATTCAGAGAAGGAGAAGGAACAGAATAACCAAACTTCTCAATGAAGACTCTTCAGTGTGTGAATCAACGGATGTCATTGCTCAAAGCATTGAGGAGTTTTATAAGATATTATTCTCCTCACAAGGACCCTCCATTGATGATCCAGTGCTTGCAGAAATTCCCCACAAGTAACAGACTCTATGAACACTGACCTCACTGCTGAAGTTGATGAAGAAGAAATTAGAGCTGCTCTTTTCTCCATATCTCCCAAAAAGCACCTGGCCAAGATGGTATTACCTCCTTGTTTTTCCAACATTTTTGGACTCTTATTAATCCTGACCTCTGTGCCTTAGTCTGTAGTTTTTTCCAATATGGGAAGATGCCTAAAAGTATAAATCACACTCTCATTACTTTGATACTAAAAGTGCAAAAACCTGATAAGATATCACAGTACAGGCCTGTAAGTCTGTGCAGTGTTACCTAAAAGATCATATCAAAAATTTTGTATAACAGGCTTAAACCATATATCTCCCTCTGCATCAGTGATACTCAGTCTGCATTCATTTATAATAGGCAAATTCTTGATAATGTGATCTTAGCTCATGAAGTCCTTCATTTTCTCAATAACCACAGAACATGAAACTCTTGTTATATAGCCATTAAATTGGATATGTCAGAAGCCTTTGACAGGGTGGAATGGACTAGTGTTAGAAATATCGTGATTAAACTTGGTTTTCATGACTCTTTTGTGAAGTGGATTATGGCTTGCTTAAATCCAGCTTCTTTTTCCTTTAATGTAAATGGTTCAGTTTGTGGATTTGTGATTCCTACTAGAGGAATTCGTCAAGGAGATCCCTTATCTCTTTATATTTTCTTATCGGTATCTCAGATTTGTCTACTATAATTAACAGCTTTTCCTCCTCAAGGATCTTTAAAGGAATTCAAATTTGCAGAAACAGTCCCTCTCTAAGACTTATGACAGGGTGGAATGGGCTTTTTTTTTTTTTTTTTATGTGGCCTTTTGCAAAAATTTTATTTTTTTGGTTGTTAACTTGTATAAATTCTTCTTCTTTTTCTCTCAATCTTAATACCTTTGAGATACCTCATACCCACCAAGAGTTTAAGGAAAGGGGACCCCCTTTCTCCCTACATTTTCATTTTGATCTCAGAGGCTCTGTCTAACCTCATTAATCAAGCATGTTTGGCTAATCACTTTCAGGGTATCAAAATTGGCCTTTTGCTCCTATAACTACTCACCTCATTTTTGCGGACGATTCTCTTATCTTTTGTAAAGAAAATCTCAAGAATGCTGGAACTCTTGCGAACACCCTCTTAAGTTATGAGATTGCTTCTGGCCAAAGGTTTAATTTAGCTAAATCTTCAAAAAAATTTCTCAAAGAATACCTTGGCTGAGTCTAAGGAGGCAATTTGTAAAGTCTTTGAAGGTATTTCCTTAGCTAAGTTTTCTAAATACTTAGGTCTCTCCTTGGGAATAGGAAAACCAAAGTTGGATAATTTTAAGTTTGTGGTTGATAGTGTGGTTAGCAGGGTCACAAATTGGAAAAAAATCACTTCTTGAGTGAGGCAGGGAGAAAGGTCTTGATTAAAACTATTTGAGGAGCTCTTCTTATTTTTGTAATGTCTTGTTTTAGGATCCCGGTGAGAGTGTGTAAGGAAATTTCTAAAATCACAACTGACTTCTTGTGGAGAAAGTCTGAAGAAGGAAAAAACATGATCTATTGGGCTAGTTGGGGCAAATTAACAAAGCCTAAAGAACTAGGAGGTTTTAGAAATAAAAAATATGACTCTTTAATGAAATCCTGGTTGTAAAACAACTTTGGAGAATCCTCACAAATCCAAACATCTTATTGAGTAGAGTTATGAAGGTGAGCTATATCTACAACCAAAAAAGATCATGGAAGTAACTCCTAAAGTAGTGATTCTAGATTGTGGAGATCCTAGATGAATGCTAGAGATTCTCTTAGGCTAGGGGTAAGATATGAGGTAGGGGACGGGAGATCCATTGCATTGTGGGGTTCCCCTTGGTTACCAAAACTCCTTACTGTAAACCAGTGAGTGATTTCAAAGGAGATAAAAAAATTTGGGGACAGTGTGGGATCTATTAAATGAGAGCAGAACTGGTTGGCTAGAGATTTGATTACTTGGTTTTGGGTTGTCAGAGTTTGAGTTGTTCTATGTATGAGAATGAGAAACAATGATTTCAAAAGCCTTTAACCACTTCTCCATAAAGGCCTTCAGAGATTCTGCCTTTTGAGATGTCATCTGCCCTTTATTCACAGTTTTTATCAAGATGGCCCAGAATTCTGCAGTAATAGCATAAGCTCACCGATCTTTCATATCTAAATTCCACTAGAATCTTTCTTTCACCAAGTTTAATATTACAGCATCTGAGCAGGGGTTGTTCTAAGTCAACAGACACATGTAGCCTTAAGCATTTACCTGCTAGATTTCCAGCTTGAGGCACTGAGACATCTTTAACTGTCTTGAAGGCTCTTATTATTTATAAACCTACTTCCGAACATAATCCAATTGATTGGAAAGTTCCAAGCTTGAACCCAAATGTCTAGTTCTTTGAAGTCTGGATGCTCAGCATTGATATCTTCCTTCCACTCTCTAAGTATCAGAAACTGCTTTTCAAAATCCAATTGTTCCCTCTTCGAACTTTAATTTTAATTCGTTTGGTCTGTGAAAATAAATTGAAAAAAGTTTGTGTTCAATTCATGGATTGTTACCGAATATGCCAGATCTAACCAATTGCCATTTTCAGTCCCACTAGATGTGCTTTTGTTTTTTGCCCCACGATTTTCCCAAACAGACTGCGATTACATTCATCAGAACTCTTGTGGATATCCTCTGAGTTGAGGGAGATGACATTAGATTCCTGCTCTTACAATTGGAAGCTTCCTAGCTTATGAGATAATTCTTTTTCCATTGAGCATAGCTATGCTTTAGGGAATGAAAGAGACCTGAGGCGAACAAGGGAGGAAAAAAACGGGGAATATTGACGCCGGAGCACCGATTAGGGCAAACTGAGAAAAGGGGAACCCCCAATTGGGGTAGACATTGGATGGCATAGGAGTACGAAAATTGAAATAAAACTAACAATTATCTATGGGGAAATGGAATTGAGCAAGACTAACCTAGTAATTTGGACCACCATGAATCAATAAGATGAAGGATCAAGCCTGCAAGGACTAAAACTCTCACGAGACAGAACTTCTGCTCCCAAGACGAGAGAATTATATGGTAGCATCTAATTAGTCACTTTAGTCATTCTTTTTTTTTTTCGGAACGATAGATTTTATAGCTAAAGAAAAAAGTTAATTACATACCGACAGGCTAACTAGCCCGAATAAACAATCCAAAAAGGAATACCAACACACCATCGGGTGATCAAAACTAACAAAAGAAACAGAAATGAAGCTCAAACTTTGGCAATCTCGAAAGAGCAGAACCCAAGAGTTTGCTACTTCATTTCTGGGCCTAGCAAAAGCAGATGTACATGGCACTTCAAAATAGAAGAACTACCACTGCACCAAAAGGCCTAGTAGGACTTCAACCAAGAAAAAAACCAAAGCAGAAAGCAAAAGAACAACAACCTACCAAATTAAAACAGAATCTAGAAAAACTAATAATTCACAATGAGCAACTGGATTCGTGTCAATCTCTGACTGCAGCATCTACAATGGATTTAGCATGTCTCCAGATCTTTTTGAAAATTCATAAGTTCCGATCTTTATAAATCCGCCATAAGATATATATGTTGAAATTATTCATCCATTTAAATAAATTGATATTTTATTTTAAATAATAAAATAAATTTAAAAAAAAAATGTATCATTTAAAGGCCCAAAATTAGAACTTTCTTAGTTCGGGAACTAATTTTTGTTTTCTTCTAAAATTCGGTCATTCACAATGTTTTGATTTCACATTTTAAGTTTCCATTTCATTTGACTAAAATGTAAAACATTACTTTTTTCAATTTTCATGTATTTTTACCATCACGTTTCTCAGGTTGTATTTGTATTCCCATTTTTGCAATTTATTTTATACTTATCTATTATTTCCTTGTAATTAAATTTCATCTTTCCTTCTTTTTTTTTTTCAATCATTTTTATCACATTTCAATTGTATTTCCATTTTTTCAATTTACTTATGTACTTATTTATCAGTTCCTTATAATTAAATTTCATCTTTTTTTTTTTTTTGAAATATGTATTCCCGTTTTTGCAAATTTACATTTCTGTTTATCTATCTTTTCCTTCAAATTTTTCCATTCCTTTTTTAATAAGAATTTTTCTTTTCATTTGAGTTGCAATAAAAATAAAAGACGGCATGAACAATTCTATTTATAAAAGCCAAACACGCAAAAGAGTGTCCAAATTTATCCTAACATGCCAAAAATAAAATAAAATAAAATAAAAAACTTTCAGGAAAAACCCGAAATCAGAAATCCCTCGATCGGAGTACCCCTTGCGCCTTCCCCAACTCATCGGACCGTGTGGCTAGGTCCCCGATTTTCATCACATGTGCTTGTCTTCGCGCCGAAGGAGTCGGAGGCCGTACCCAGGTGGATTTCGCTGTAAATCTGGTTACTAGTCGAGGTGGAGGTTCGCCGATTTCTAAGGGGTTGTGGCGTTGGCGGGCTTCGGCGTTTCTTCGGGGGTTTTGGTTGCGGCTCCGATTGCCCTAGTGGCGGTGGTCGGGGCAGAGGGTCGGTGGGCTATCTCCTCCGTATCCCTTGCTCCCATGCTCCCACGATATTTGGGTTGAGGAGCAGCCGGGCCGTTGGATTCCAGTCTGTAGGTGTGGGCTTGGCTCGTGGTGTCAGTGGTGCGGTTGGGTGGGTGGGTTGTTCGTTGATCCGGTTGCGGGTCTCGAGTCGTCCTCCTGGGCATGGTGTAGGGTTCTTTGTTTCGGCTCGAGTTAGGCCCTTTCGACAGTTTCTTGATCTGTAACTTGGACCGTTGCTTGGTCCGTATGGGTGGTCGGCTGTGGTGTCGCCGTCGTATTTTGCTCGGAGTGGCTTGCCGACTAAAGAAAATGCCTTAGTCTAGCTATAGTGTGTTGAGTTTGTGTTCTAGGCTTTTGTGGTTTTGTTTTTTCCCCGTCTGGAAGCATTTATTCTCCCATGTGGGGTTTTTTTCTCCAATGTCTGGAAGCATTTATTCTCCCATGTGGGGTTTTTTTCTCCAATGTTGGAGTTTCGTCGTTTTCAATATTAGTTGGTGGGTGCGTCTTTTAGTCTCGTCCTAATGTGGGCGATCTTCAAATTTGTCAATGAATTTGTAATGAAGAATTTGTCATTTCATTAGATATGGCTCTTTAGCTACTTTATTCAACTGCTGGGTTTGTTTCCTATTTGTACATTTTTGTTCCATCTATAATAAAAGTTCTATCATTCCATAACCAAAAAAAATAAACCGAACACATTTTTCTTATCATTGAATATTTATCTAAAAGTCGTATTATAACAAAGGAACACATCATACAAAAAACTTAGAAAAAGTTTCAGAAGTGCTTAAGTTTTCCAATTTACAGTGAACGGACATAATGTGATTTCTGATTATAGTATAATAATATATATTGTGATTTGTGATTATAGTATATATATACTAATATATGAGCGAAGTATAAAAACATGAGTAGTCAATTTTTTTAATACTATTCGAGGAAAAAATGAAAATTGAGTCCCGAATTGACAAAGGTTTAAAATATGGGACCCATCATCATGATATTCTCCCTTTATATTCAATAAATCAATAATTCAATATTTTTGGTTTAAGCAAATTATCAAGTTTGCCAATATATCACAACTTCCACTTCTCCCAAACATGCTAAAAACAAAAGACCATTCATTGAACTAACATTCACATGTTTTACAACTGAACATGATAATACAACTCTCTTCCATAAACTTCAGGTTAAAAACCATATAATATCATCATAACATAACAATAACATATTAACACCAAGTGTTCCAGATCCCCAGCAGAGCTAAAACTGGAAGTCTGACCACACAAAATCATGAGATTCAAAACATTGAATCTTTTCAATGGCTCCTGAACATAACATACCTCAAAACATAATATATATCCAAAAACTCTACCAAACTACTACCTTGATTTGAGCCCTTAAATTAACATGTATTCTGAAGCTCATCCAGTTGAGATTAATCTAATTCAGATACTAGTAAATCAGATAAAAAGCTAATTTGAACACTGACCAAAGCATTAAGAATTAAATCTTTCTAACTGCAAAAAAAACTTAGATACCCTGGGCATTCAAACAATCAACTAGTAGGTGCAAAACCATCAAGGCAACAGCTAAAGTGAAACATGACGAAACAAAGCAAGACAAGAACTTCAAGTCTCAAATGGGAATCCTACACTGGCATGGATCCAAAAACACGAGTCTTACAGGAATACGAAATCTTAAATCTTAAGAATAGACAAACATCTAAAACACGGTTCTCTAAAGGGATCTCATAGAAAACTAGAAACACACTTATAATAATAAGACTTCTTAAAGTAAACCAAAAAAAAAAAAAATCAGCTGAAATCTAGGGGGTTCTTCTTCAGGCCTCTTCTAGAGATCATCATCCTTGCTAGTAACTTGGAAAATCTAGTCAACTGAGAGCCAAGCAATAACAAAGAGACATGATAGAACTCCTAGATAGATATGCTTATAGATAAAAGACCCCATCATCTACCTGGCATATGGATGATAACGACTACTCCCACTATAGCCTGAGGCTCTACTACCTCCATACATCCCACCTCCAACTCCACCATAACTCGAGCCAGAACCCGAGCCAGGTCCAGAATCATACCCTGCACCTGACCCCGCACTATAACCCCCATAACCTCCACCACCTCCACCACGGGCATAGGCTCCGGGCCCACCACCATACCCCCCACCATAAGAACTAAATCGGCCCGTATAGCTAAGCGGGCCCTCCCCTCGATAACCAAACTCACTACTCCCATAATCCCCATATCTGCCAGTGTATTCACTCGGGCCACCATATCCAAAGTCACTGAACCTACCACTCAAGCCCGATCCAATTGACCTATAGGATGTCGGGCCGAAACTAGCACTGCCAAGCCCATTATAGGAGCTGCCAAAACCACTGTAACTATCCGCATACGATGCGCGTCCCCTATATTCACTAGCGTATGCAGGAGGAGCAGGTGTTGGGTTTGAGGGTTTCTTTGGTTCGGCCTTCTTGATCTCAACCTACAATAAACGAGCAAGTTAACCTAGAACTTTAACCTGCAAATAGTTTTTTGACCTGGTTCTATCATAGTGCTAAGTTTTACCCAAATGATTGGCAAAGTCACTACAGTAAATACTACGGGCTTTCCAATATAACTAAAGCACTGAAAAAGGTTATGCTACAGAGCTATCTAGCATGCACAAACCAATTTGTCACAGGGAAACTCACCTGGGCACCATTCATATCAATCATATTTCCATCAGCTAGGATACTATCAACGACTTGTTCATTGTCGAAGACGATGAATCCAAAGCCACGAGACCTCTTGGTAACATGATCTCGAATAATCTCGTGTTCAACCACTTTCCCATACTTTGAGAAGAAACCCTTGAACTCATCTGCAGATGGACATCATAACATGGATAAGGTAATTTGACCAGATAGGGAATAGATACAGTATTGACAAAAGCAATCTTAGAAAGCAAAACTGTGCACCTTCTGAAACAGGGGTTGGGATGCCACCGACAAAAATCTTTTTTGTTTTGAAATCCTTTGAATCACCAGACCCCTTAGGAATAGTCCTTTTAATCTCAACCTGGCAAACAGAAACACTTTAAATTTGAGACCACAATAAGGGACGATCAGTTCAATAATTGCTTGTTGATCACCACAGGATATAGAACGGCAAGTGTTTCAGTACAGACAACCTCATTATCATATAATTTATTGACGACAAGATGCATACAACTCAAAATTGATGCACTCGGCTAAAATAGGACTACCATTCGACACTAAGATGCAATTCAAACAATAAACTAAAATATTACAAACTAGCAGGAAACCATAATATCTTACACCCAACCACATCTTGCCAAAGCATAACAAAAGAAAACATACATATGAAAGACCACAGCACTTGATCATTTCGTAAAGCCAAGAAAGACAGCCATGAATTAACTGGCCAGAAACAATAGGTACCATTTTTTAACTATGCATTAGAACCGATCATAGTAAATTAATGAAAACAAAATACAACTCTATATATATAATATAACAAAAGAAACATTTTGGAACTCATCCTCACCTGTTTTCCATTAATGACATGTGTTTCAGCTATAACCGTGTCAACAACAGCAGGGTCGGCATAAGTTATGAAACCAAAACCCCGAGGTCGACCAGTGTGTCTATCCTTCATTATTACCGAGTCCGTTATCTCCCCATACTTGCCAAAATACTTCACAAACGTATCTGTAGATTTTTTTTATTAAGAATAAAAACAGAACAGCCACATAAAAGAATTAATCAGATTCTACATGAAATTAAACCTAAAGTAGTGTCTTTAGCCAGACCCCCGATGAAAATCTTCCTGTTTCGAGATCATTGAAAAAAAAAATCAAGATTCGTCAGTTAAACTCATATATACCATACGTGAACAAATAAAAACACATAAATTGGAAACACATGAATTGACGAACCCGGGGCTAGCGCCATCACCGAAATCCGACCGCTTAGAACCCATTAGAAGCTTCAAATTTTACAGATCTAAGATAGTGGATGCGCTAGGGTTCGGGGTTTTCGACGTTGGAGGGGCAACAATAAAGATTACCCTATGTCGCGTTTTATATAAGCGGCGGATATTAAGGATGGGATAAACTTTGGGCAAAAAGTTATTTACCCTATAGGCTTTTGCATTGTCAAATAATGCAACTCGACAGAACAATTTTTTATTAGAGCTGTCAAAACGGGTTTAAACCCGCGGGTCGGCCCGCTCACACTTCAAAAGCGGTGGGTTGGACCGTGATTTTTGACACCTATTGAGGAACAGGCCTACAAGGGTCAGTCCGTGCGGAACAAAGCGGGGTGAGGCGGGTTAGCCAAAGAGTTAATCCATCAATTATTAAAAACTATAAAAAAAACTAAAGATATGATTATATGAGAGACTAAATACAGAAGCGAGAATTTGAGTCGAATGACTTCAAAATTGAAAGTCAACTTCAACATCTTAGAGCATCTCCAATGCTCTAGACAAATGTCAAAAACTTAAATAGATTGTGAACCATGTAGAAAAATGTTGAGTTCACAACTATTAAATTAAAAAATCATCTCCAATGCACAATGTAGTCTAATTACAATATTATCTACTTACCAAATATTAAAATTTTAATATGAATTAAGAAAATTAATTAAATAATTAAATAACTTGAAAATGATAAGAATAATTCTCTCTCTTCTCTTCATTGGTTAGCTAGAATGTGGAGGAGAATATGGATGAACCACATTCTTCTCTACATTGTAGACATTAATTATGTCCACCTCATCACAACATTTGTGATCACATTGTAATTGGAGGATGAAAAGTTGTGATATTACCAAATGTGTTGATGTAGAATGTAAATACCACAACTGTTAGTGTTATATACTGAAAGTTTGGATTTGTATGTTATTACACATTTGCCCTTTATGAATGAGAATCATGTTAGATTAAACAAGTTTTACATTCTGTTGTTCTGCACTTAGATAGAGTGGGTTGTCATCGGGCGAACCGAAGATCACTCTATCAGTTACTTGCAAACAAGAATAGTTGTTCACAACCTAGATGGACATGAAGACCCCATCCGAACGGTTGTAAATTGTACAGTTTGTCTTGACTTAGTACATTTATGTATTGAACAGGATCCCAGAGAAGAGAAGTTCATTTTATACTGATCGTCATAAATGAACTAGGCCTCGGTTAATTACTGCGTTCTCTTAACCCGTAAGATATTAAACAGACAGATATATATAGTATATATTACTTTGATTCACTTGGGTGAGGTTCAGTTTACTGGATCAATATTCCTACTGTTTTGGGTAATATTATTATATATAGGATGTGCTGTTAGGATATTCACGGTCACCATGTGCGTTAGTTTGATGATGTCCCCGGACTGAGTTCATGAAGGACTGTTATGCTAAACCCTGTGGGTGGATTAAGTTCCGACATAATAAGAATGTGATGAACGAGCGCTAGCTTCGGTGAAATAATAATAAATTAGTTAATTCTTGATTGTCAGTAATTGAATTAATTAATGGACATTATATCTTAAACGTGAAGAGGTAAATCCAGAAATTATTATTGGAGTCTCAAATGTAATTTGGGCTAGGAAAATGGAGTGCAATAATATATTGTTGGTGGCGCATTATCATTATTTAGTTAATTGGAGGAGTGGGTTTGGCCCACTGTTAGTCTAATTAATTAAGGAGTCATATTCCTAATCTCCTAAGGGTCTATACTGTAGCTCTATATATACATCATTAAGCTCATGAGAAGAGAACACATCTCATTCACGAGACACGCGCGCCGCCCCATACTCTCTCTCTCAGTTCTCATTCGAGCTTTATCTTCTTCTTATTGCTCCACTGGAACAAGTTGAAGAAGGGTGTATTGAGTAATACAGTACAAAATCTATAGATAACCGAGACCCGTTAATCTTCTACAGTAATCGACAATCCACGAGCTGAGCCCGAGGACCGCCGACAGCCGATCGTCGCCAGCCCAATCGGACCGCCGCCGTGAGCAGCCGCGATGACCGACGACCGACGACCCGATCGAGACAACCGGCGATCTCCCGCGAGACAAGCCCGATGATCTGATCCGATACATCCGTTCCTGTGATCTGATTTGTTCGTGTGCTGTGTACGGCCATCCGGAAGATCAGCCAGATCGCCATAAATTTTAAGTATTAAGTTCTCTACGTCAAACCTTTAGATCCGTTGCGCATAGGTTTACGTTTGCTATTGAATTCGTGATTTGTACATAACGAGATCCTCACAGATCCCAACAAGTGGTATCAGAGCACTTGGTTAATTTGTTTTGTACAGAGTTCGAATTTTACGGCTTTATTTGACAAGATGTGTTCAAACGCAGCCATATATTGGATTATATTTGCATAACTCGGTTTTGCAGGAAAATAGTTAATCCACTATTATGGTCGTCTATGTGTTTGATGAATGTTGTTGAATGTGATGTATGGTTTTAAGTTGGTTTTTAAAGCCTCGGACATGTCGAGGAATTGATGGATGAATGTTTGTAATAATTATTCGCCCGGAGGTTGACTGGATAAATTTAAATATTTGTTTAGAAAACATGTACATCCATTTGTTGGATCTAGGATCGAATTATGTAATTTTGTAAATTATATTTTTCGTGTTGTGGTCATGAGTTGATGACCGGGAGATCACAAGAGATCAACGAAGCTTGACGAACCAGCCGGATCATGGGCCCGAGGACCCGCCGGCAGCCAGTCGGTGGCGCGCGGCGGATCGGCGGCAACACGACCCGGCTGGACGCTCGCGGCAGTCGTGCGAAATGAAAAAAAAAATCGGCGATTTCCACCCACTAGCGGCGGCTGGTCGTGGCTGAGTTGGAGAGGTTTAGTTGATGTCCAAGCAGTACAAGATCAACCAGAATTCTACTGCTAAAGGAGTTCCAGTTGAACAGGGAAAGAACTGTCACAGTTTTCTTGTTTAAGGAGACTCAATATTTAATGGTCATAATAATGGATTTATTTATTTATTTAAATTCATTATGCCTTTAATTATTACTAATGCAAAACCCGTGCGTTGCACGGAATGTAAGAATTTGGAGAATAATAAAATATGGCATGAATTAGGATCGAAATAATTATAATACTTAGGAACATTATTACAAAAAAAAAGGATTGTTTCGTCACGAAACAATCATATATTATTAAAAACCTCCTTGTACACAATATTATGAGTTTGTAACTCCTCATTATCACAAACTAATATTTTCAACCCTCTTATAGTAGTTACACGTGAAAAAACAACATATAATTGGTCGTGACTAAAAATCGGTTTCTTCAAGAATAGACCAACGTGCGATAAAGACTGTCCTTGACTCTTGTTTATGGTCATGGCATACGAAATCACAAGTGGAAACTGTCGCCGCTGGAACTTAAATGGAATCCTAGTATCAGATGGAGTGATATTCATTCTAGGAATCAACACATTCTCTCTAGCGTGATCTCCCGTCAATATCTTGCATTCGAGGACATGAGTAGAGAGTTTAGCCATAACCAATCGCGTCCCATTGCACAGTCCCATAGAATGGTCAATATTGCGCAACAACATTACTGGAGTTCCTACCTTCAAGTGCAACTTATGATTGGGAGTTCCAGAACACTTAATGCTATTCAAGAATTCTGGCGTGTGGAGATCTGCCAAAAAATCATTGCCACAATCCGACTTAGAAGTACTGTCAGAGCTCACGTACGTACGACCTTCAGAAGAATTCATATCGGACATGTATTGATTGATGGACTCAACAACTTCCAATGTGGGAGCTAATATAGTCATATCCTTCAAATAACTCAGATCGTTAATTGCGTTCTTGAACATTGGATAGGTACTTTCTACAATCGTAGCAATTGGATCATCAGATTGATCCAGTCTTATATCATCTGGAATTTCGATCGCGGCACAACCATCATTTGATCCTCCTATAGTACCATCTCCAATACTCGCAATCCAATCCGCAAATGCAGCCATCTCGTCACGGTCATCGGAATTGGAAATGCTCTGAAGACGCATATTTTTCGTAAGCCGGAGCACAGTACAGTCCTTCCAAATGCTGGATGCATTAATAGAAGCATTGACAATGTCCTGGCGACTCCCCTTTGGAATGACTGGAAGGATCTGTCGAAAATCTCCACCAAAGACAATCGGCTTACCTCCGAAGGGCTTGCTTTTATTAAAAGGGTCTAATACTCCCATTATAACCTGCAGTGATGTTTGAACTGCCTCAAAGCAAATTTTATGCATCATCGGCGCCTCGTCGCATATGATTAGAGAGCATTTTTGTAATGCCCCGTTTGATTTTTAGATTTATTTTTTTAGAATATGTATTTATTTGCATTTTAATTTTCTATGCTCGACAAGCTCTTCGGATTAATTAGACATTAGAGTATATTTAACCCGTTAAGAGAAATAATTTATTTGGACGTTAGTGTCTAATTAAATTATTCGAAGTATCGATTTACCAGATATTCGTTAGCCATTCGATTTTATTCGATTTAATTATTTAGAGGAAAAAACGAATTTATTGGAATTTTTGGTTTATCAATAGCCGTGTTAACCCGATTTCGCCTACGACAATTTTTATTTTCTCGTTTCGTTAGAATTTATTCGAGACCAATTATTAGCCGTTTTATGTCCGATTTCTAGATGGCCTTATTAGTCGCCTAAGCTCGGCCCAATTAGCCTGTTTTGTTCGGCCCATTAGGATTCCTTAGCAAAGGAGAAATCAGTTTTTCAACATTGTTTTTTCAGATTATATTCGGTAACCGAGGAGTAGATTCAAATGTATGTCATGACCAAAAATATGAAAGACTGATACCTGCTTGTTTCTTCACAGGAGGCTATCTGTGGCACATGGTGTAGGAGGGAATATATTCTTCTTTTTTTTTTTTTTGACATATGAATGACTGATGATGGGCATGAGTAAAGGGAATCAGAATATATTTCCTGTGCACTATCAGAATATGTTTTGAATATGTTTGAATATATTTTGAACTTACCTCTGCAAACACAGGTATGGAATCAGAGTTCCCGGCCGAGCAAATTGAATATTTGTTTAATAATAAATGGACATATGAGGTTCAGAAGTCCTTTGCACGTTTCTTGGTATTAGTGTCTC